TGTTCATCACAAGAGTTTGTTTTATTAAATAAAGAAATATTTGAAAAATGAAAAAATGTAAAGTTTAATGCAATTTTCAAATGTGAATCTTTTTTAAAAGAATTTTATTTTATTTTTTCTTTTTGCAACTGTTAGATTATTTTTTATATGGATGTAGAAAAGGGTATAATATCTTACTTTGACTAGCTATTTATTCAATATCAAAAGAATTCACAATTGATATTTTATTATCAGTTCCTGCAGAGTGTATTAGAACATCTACCTCTATAGTATAAAAATGAATATTTAGAAGTTAAGTTGTCTTTGTAGATACAGGGTGACCCCAAAAAACGGGAATTTTTGAAGTGTGTATTGCTAGACATGAACAAGTGGCAAGACTGCAAGACATTTGAGCAAGTAAACATTTCGCCATTTAGAATTCAAGATGAAATTCACAGTATCCCAGCTGAGATGTTGTAGCAGTCAATGAGGAATCTCAACAGCAGATTTCAAGAATGCATTCGTACAGGAGGACACCATCTACAGGACGTAATTTTTAAAAAATGAAAATTCCATCATTGTTTCTTAAATGGCATGTTTTAAGGTTTCAATTACTATGAATAAAATATTTTTCTTCCATCACTCTTGGTTTTATTGGATTGTTAAAAAGTTCCCGTTTTTTGGGGGGGTCACCCTACATTTTTGGATAGATAAGTCTATCTTTCAGACCCCTTGCTCCACCATTTGGTGAAGGAGAATTCCATGTCAAAAATATTTAAAAAGAGTAGTTAAAATTGCAAAAATACATGCATAAGTAATTTATTTCTGACTTAATAAAATCATTATTATCTCCAAAGAAAAATAAAATTGCATACAAAATATTTAGATTTCAGCATTAAATAACCTATACAGTTTGATGGTGGAGATGGTATTTTTGACAACAGCAGCTGTATTTTTTTCTGCTGGTTTGGTTTGGTTTTGTGGCATATCAACACCTCAATGGGTTATTTAATGCTGATAATTTTTATTACTGGTAATATTTTTTTCAAAAATGTATTGCTGGTATTTTTTCCTTCAAAAAATCTATTTCTAGTAATATTTTTTCTTCAAAATATATCACTGGTAATTTCAGGATGTGGGTGATCATGGCTCTCCACAACTTTCTGTCTTTTGTAGCTCTTAGTAGATTTTGTGTTTTTGATATCTCTCTTAAACCCTATTCTAACAACAATTTACACAACCTCATTAGGTAGATTAAGTGCTGCTTTTCTCTGTCTTTCTTGCCTTCAGTATGTTGAGTGTCAAATTTTTTAAGATCCATTGTGCCCCTGAAATATCAACTCTTTCTTCCTGATGTTAAATATAAGTGTCCTTTTTGTTTCAATTTTCTCTAAAACATTGTCATTGCTGACATGTTCAGTCCGTGGTATTCTCAGCATCTTTCTGTAGAAACACATTTCTGCTACTTCAAGTCTCTTCTTCATCTGTGAGAAAATTGTACAGCATTCACTGCTGTATAGGAAGACTGATATTACATAACAGTTTATTTCTTTGTTTCTATTGTATCAATGTTAAGTCAATAATATCACTAATTTAATTTAGATTTGTATTAATAATCTTGTTCCCTAATTTGCTATTGATCTTTGTAACACTATGTAACAAAATTATTACTATGGTTTGTTTTTGGTTAGTAGGTATTATTTTTTAATTGCTTCTGTCAAGAAAACAAAGGAAATAACTATTATTCTCTTCAAACTTTGTTTTCTGACCTGATTTTAAAACTAACTTATTTTCCATTTCATTCCAGATAGATTCATTGCCAAGTTGCTGAAGGAGAAGTTTCTAGGAATTTCTAGAAGTTTCAAGAATTTCTAGTATGTTCTGGCTACCAAGGATTGTATAACAAAAACATGATGGGAGACTATTTTTGGGAGATGATTCATGAAAGCAATATAAGTGTAAATCATGAAAAACTACTCACTTTCTAGATTTTTTGTGGTCTCTCTTGTGTAATCTTAGAATAAATAAATGCTACTTTTGAATCATATTTTTGTACCTACTTTTCATGAATGAGAAATGTCACCAATGAGAATAGGTACATTTCAGAAATATCATTATCATGAACACAAAATCGAAGTATAAAAGAAAATTTTAGGAAATATTAGCCATTTTTCATACATTCTCGGTGTAAGCAAATAGGAAATAACTGCAAACCAAGGACAAAAATAATGTTACATAATTTTTAAGAAGTGTTACTAATAATTAAAAGCTGTTTATATGTTTATAAGCAAATAGGAAATAAAAACTGCTACCCAAAGACAAAAATCATTACAGTTTTTACTTTATCCTTCATTCAAATGAGACAAATTTATCATAAAGTAGAACAAATTCTTCAGAAAATTTACTGCAATTTTTATCATTCCAAACAATAAAATTAGAGTTCTTTTTATTTTTTTTTATTTTTGTCTTTCATTTACTAATTTTGGGTGCTACTGTATGTCCTACTGTCACTAATGGTTAGTGATTGAGTCCAGGTAAAACTATTAGTGTAACGCAATCTACTTTCATTGAATATTAACAGCACCTCAAAATCTCAAATGAAAGCAATAAAGATGAGAACACTGAAAACATTTAATTGACATATCATAATAATGTTTATCCCATCCCACCAAAATATTATAAAACACTAACAAAGTTAAATGTATGAATAATGTAATGGGTATTGGTGTGGAAAGTGTAATTGGTAAGTCAAGTTTTAAATTCTAGGTTAGTCTGTTGCATTTCACACAAATTCCCTTATGAAATCTATCTCTTCTCCCCACCAGCTAGGGGTTAAATAGCAGGGTAGACAGGGCTTTCTAGCGTTAGGTGACAAGTAAAGGAGAAGGAAAACTGTGAAGAAGGTAACAGGAAACCATTCTGGTATCTTTCCCAAGAATACATGTCAATTCACAGATAATAAAGAAAAGAGAAGCTGTGGAGAGCCATGACCGACTATATCATGAAGGGACATACCACTGAAAAAATAACCATCCAGCCTTATTTTTAATGAAATATTAATTGATTTTTAAATATTTATTTTACAGAAACACTTTTTTTTCACAATCTATCAATCAAGTTCAAATTCTGGCTAGTCAGTTACATTCATTTTCAGACCTATACACTTTTAAAAGGCAAGAATCTCTCTCTTCTATTCCCAGCTTTGTGTTAAATAGCAGGATAGACTGGAGTCTCTAGTCTTTGGAAAAAAACCAGTCTAAGAGAAGGGAAAATACAGTGGGGGAATAAATATTTGTACATTTGAAAAATTGTATTTTTATAAATGTAAAAGCCTTAAATAAAACAAATTTCGGCACATTTTATGTATAAAGACACATACTATTAAAAAATAATAATAAACTTAATTAATTCTTATTCTAATAGAAATTAATGCATTTTTTTAATTCTAACTGGTGAAAAAAGTATTCGTACAAATCAATTATTAGAATAAAATAATCAATTATGAAAAAAGTATATTCTATAATGTTCCAGTAATGTTATCAGTAATTATAGTTAATGCTATTAGCCATTATCAGAGCATTCTGCAATTTCTAGTCTTACGAGAAGGTTCTAATAATGCCTAAAGGTAAAGAATTGACTATTTCACAAAAACAACACATTTTGTCTCTTTGGAAAGATGGGAACAGTTACAGAACAATTTCTAACAACTTGAATATTCCTTTTACTACAATTGCTTCATTCATTGCAAGGTTTAAAACTCGTAACAGCATCAAAAACCAAAGACGAAACAGGTGCTCCGAGGAAGATTTCTTTAAGATCAGCAAGGATATTAGGACACCAGATCCAACAAAATCCACAGGTTACCCAAGAAGAGCTGCGGGAACATCTGTGTGCATTAGGGATTAAAGTAACCAAGCATACAATAAGTAATGAACTACACAAAAACAGTCTGAAATCACGCATCCCAAGGAAGACTCCACTCCTCTTGAAACAACACAGAGATGCTAGGCTAAAATTCGTTAGAGAGCATAAGGATAAAGAATATTCGTTTTGGGAAAAAGTACTATGGACAGATGAAACTAAAATAGAGTTGTTTGGTCATAATTATCGGAATCATGTGTGGAGGAAGGACGGTGAAGTCTACTTACCAAAGAACACATTGGGGTGGCAATATCATGATCTGGGGCTGTTTTTCTGCAAAAGGTATTGGCAGAATATCAATAATAGATGGCAAGATGAATGCGAAAGATACCAGAAAATCCTGCAAGACAATTTAATGCGTTCTGTTGAGAGAGACTCCCCGGCTACCTCCTGATTGGGTTTTCCAACTGATAATGATGCTAAGCATACTGCTAGATCTACAAGGAAATGGTTAGCTGAAAGTAACGTTGATGTCTTGCAATGGCCAAGTCAGTCCCCAGACTTGAACCCAATCGAGAATTTATAGTGATATTTGAAAATTCAAATTGGGAAAAGAGCACCAACAAATATCAAGAATTTGAAGACAATATGCCAAGAAGAATAGGACAAAATACCACTCAATGTGTGCAAATCATTAGTTGAGACGTACAGGAATAGACTGGTAGCTGTTGAACTCAATAAATGATATTCCACAAAGTATTAAATTAAGTTAATATGCTTTTTTTGTTTTGTACGAATACTTTTTTCATCAGTTAAGATGAAAAAAATGGATTAATTTCTGTTAGAATAAGAATTAATTAAGTTTATTACTATTTTTTAATAAAATGTATCTTTACACATAAAATGTATCAAAATTTTTTTTAGTTAAAGATTTTACATTTATAAAAATTTTTCATGTGTACGGATATTTATTCCCCCCCACTGTATATAAATTCCAAACCATAGAAACCATTCCACTAGCTTTCCAAAGAAAGCATGGGCAGTAACAGATATTTTAAAAAAAAGAAAAAGGAAACCATGATTTCTCACATCCTAAAGAGACATGGCATTAAAAATAAAGTTAAGCAAATACTAAAATATATTTTGAAAGATCAACTCACCATTTTGGACCAGAAGAGATACAATTGAATCCCAACCATTTTCTGCAGCTTCATGCAGAGGTGTAAATCCATTTTCTGCAGTTATATTGGGGTCTGCCCCAGCTTTAAGTAGCATCTCTGCACTTTCTATCCGGCTATAACGGGCAGCTGTATGTAATGGGGTGTTGCCATGATCATCTATACCATCCAATTTTGATCGTCGTCTAGTGTTCAAATAATCTTCCAGGCAGTTGACACTGTTCTTGAGTACAATATCATGAAGCTGAACTTTCATTGTGGCACCAGACTTTTTGTCTTGTAATGAATTGTCAAAGGATATCGAGCGGGAATATATTTTTTTTTTCAAATTTCTGAGGAAATAAAAAGACCGATAAAAACAATTATGGACAATGCATTTAAGGGTATCTAGAAAAGGTTTTCTGCAAATTTCTAAGATGAGTATACTTATTGTTATTTTTATTACAATGCATAACCTAAGAATTAATCACACGAGACCTTAAATATTGTTACAGTTTAAATTTTAAAAAAAGAAACAGTCTGACATTTAAGGACTACAGGATTGAAAGTATGCCTGAGAACACATTAGTTTAAATGGTGTGGTCAAAACAACAAAGATGAGGATACCAGTTCAAATAATTAATAGACTAAAAACTTCAGTTGAAATTCTCAGATAATATAATAAAAAGAGCAAATTGGACAAGGCATGATGAGCAAAAGATCAAAGATAAAGATATTCATTTAAATAATCCATATGATAAAGGTTATAATTCATTTTAAAACTTTAGAAATTTAAATTAAGAGCAAATTGATCAAAACAACAAAGATGAGGATACATGTTTAAACAATTACTGGTATAAATAAATTTTTCATTTAAGCAATTCAGAAAACACACCTATCAAAATAAAGTGTTGAAGACATCAAAGATTAGAGTATAAATAATTAGCAAACAAAATATTAGTAAATTTACTAAATGTTAACAAAAAAAACCCCCTAAACCCTTAGAAATCATATTTCCCATAATACAAATTTGCTTATATTAGTGGTGACTTTTTGTATTTTTTTTTGTTTGGAGAAATTATTATTTTCTTTTTAAATCTCACCAATCTATGTTCTTAAAAATTACATACAAGTAGAGGATGCCAGCTCATTTCTGAATAGCCTTGGTTACTCCTCTTTTCCCAACGGGTCATTTAATCCTCTCAACAGAGCGAACTTGTCTTCATGTATGGGACACTTGCTCAGGCATGATGTTTCCAACCCAAAGAGAAGTTCTGCTGCTTTGATACCTCGGCAACTACCATGTTTAGTAATCCTCTACCTAGAGTGGCTCTTAGGCCTAGTATTGGGTGAAACACTTTTATCTTTCAAAATATTGATGAAATGTTCCAAAGATGGATAAAAGATTTTAATTCCTTCTTTAATTTTTTTATATTCAGAACACATTCCTATTCTTCAGCTTTCCTCATGTGTACATTCCTTTCTAGAACTTATGAAAAATAGGTCAGCTGATATTTGCTACCAACAGCAAGAACACAGAAAAGGAGATTGATTGTTCAAATAAAAGTTTTACTGTTATTGACTTTATCAAACTTATAAATAATATATTAGTATTAATGAGGGAGAAAATAAAAAAATAAAAAATTACCTGGAGTGAGTGAAAAAGAGAGAACGTTAAGTTTCTGTATAACACTTCTTTGTCAAAATATTTACACCGAGCGTTCAGTAAAAGGTGTTTATTATGAATACTGGCAGCATTTTAAAGCTAACACATGTATATATATATATATGAGGAGATAACTACAAAAACAATAGTCACTCAAGCGGGAAATGATAAAAATAGTATTATTTTCTTTCTTTCTTTTTCTTAATGACATGAATCATGTTAATATATACTGTGATAAAAAATCTACAAGAAATTACATCACACTAGATACACACAGACAGACACACCTTAGAGAAAATGTCTTTCCTTTTTTGTGACGTTATAATTATCAATTAATGAACTATCAGAAAAATGTGTATATACTACAGGACATTCAAGTCACCTTCCGGACATTTGATTTTATTTATTTCAATGTTTTGGTGACTGTACCCTCTGACCTACCTTTTTTTCTTTCTTTCTAAATTGAGATATTGTTTCTATTATACACTGATTTTTGTGGTTCTTGTTTTTGATGCTTGTATCACAATGTTTCTGCTGCTCTACTCCCTGGCCTTCCTTTTTTTTTTCAATGTTGAGGCATTGTTTCTACAGTGTAACCCGGATATAAGAGACCCGGATATAAGAGAGATTTTCTCTGGTCCTAAATTAGAGCCTGTGTTAATGTATATAAAATAGACCAAACCCGGATATAAGAGAAACCCGGATATAAGAGACTTCTTCTCCAGTCCCAACAACTCTCTTATATCTGGGTTACACTGTATTATATACTGATTTTTGTGGTTCTTGTTTTTGATGTTTGTATCACAATGTTTCTGCTGCTCTACTCCCTGGCCTTCTTTTTTTTTTCAATGTTGAGACATTATTTCTATTATACACTGATCGTTATGGATAATTTTTTCTTGTCTTTGTTGTTTGTATCATAATATTTTAGCTACTCTTTGGCCATTCTGCATTGAGATATTGTATTTGTTGTACATTTATTATTTAGCAAGTACACTAAGCACAACAGCACAATGTAATGTCATAATTTGATATTTCTCATCTGATGCATTCTACAGCACGATTTGGTCATTATTTCAAAATCCTGATGCTAACAGTAGCAGATCTTTTTCCATGTTTGAATTTGGCTTTCATGCAGCATCTCATGTGGCTATAACATCCAATGACTGAGAGATAGACATTGCTAGTGATGTTATATATATATACCTTTGTCCCAATGATGTTGATGATGTAGTGGTGTCCACCTACACTTTGTTCTCTGGTCAGAGCTGGTGCTAGAGTCTTGCCCCCACCAGAAATTTTGATATTAAAATATACATGTCAATTTTAAAGTTTCCCAACCTGGGGACCACAAACTCGCAAAGGAAAATTGTGGGTAAGAGCAGCAATTTTTTAAATTATCAAAAGTTAGGGAATTATCCAATATAATTGAAAATTTCAGTACATATGCATTAATTATTTACTTTTATAATGAATTGGTTTTTTATTTTAAAAAATCTGAGAAAATGTTATTCTTTCTGTAATAACTATCAATATTTTCCTGACTAAATTTTACTTGAAAGAAATGTTCAAATTGCAAATTTTTACATTTCCATAAAGATTAATCACCAATGCATCTATGCTGAAAAAATAAAAAAAAAGTAGCTTTACAAAAATTCCAACACAACACAAATGGGATTATCTTAAAAATTTGTTTTGAAAACAGTATTTTAGTTTTTGGTAAAAATTTTTCATGTTTAATTCTTTAAACATTTTTATTTTTAAGCGATCATTTTCTCAGTTTTATCTTTCTAGAAATGTAAAAAAATAGGGACTAAAAATTTCATTTTAATTACTAGCCATGATTAATATTACTATTAGTAAAAAATTAAAAAATAGCAGAGATTCTTCTTACTGGATGACCCTGGAATATAAAATGATTTTACTGTGATATATTACGCTCTTAATTGATTTAAAAGAATTGTCCAGAAAGAAAATTACAATTTAAAAAAAATAAGTACTACTGAAATTAACACTTCTTCCCTCTGTTCCGAAGTAGTCACGCCCCCCTCCCCACACACACAATTGAGAGGTTCAGGGTAGTAAGTACTGGCCCTGTTGATTATTATACTTGATGACTGATAACTTAGGTAGAAAAAAATTAAAAATACAAAAAGCAAAAAGACACTACTGAAACTAGCCCTTATTGAGCTCCAATCTTATTTGGGGTTTCTGCATAGTATTGGCCATGCAGGTACACAATGTATATCATTATTTGATGACTGAAAATGTAACATCAGTTTAAAAATAATTTAAAAAAATGTTGGATGGCCATAAAACAGTGCTGAAAAAATGGTATAGGTCACAAGAGATCCCACAAAAACGCTCCCCACCCACCAATCGGAGGTTTTGCAGTAAGACATGCCTACCCTGTCTCTGGCCTCTTTTTAATGAACCAAGATGGTCTCATATGTGAAATAATCGACTGCATTCCAGACTAGAATAATAGGTATATATGTGTTGACAGTCTTTGATGGTTTGAGCATCACTTCTGTTGCTGATTAACTAACTAGAGAACATAATCAACAAGACACCCTTTTTTTTTTCTGTTGAATTTTTGCTTCCTATGATGATTTCTTTGAGGGTTTCACCAAACATTTCAGCACATTTCAAAATGTTTTCAAAGTTTTCTTCATTTCTGTAATTAATAAGAGTGTCTTTGTTTGTTTTAGCTCTTCTTTTGCCTGTTATGACATTTAAAATCTTTTCCTGGATGTATTTATGTATCTTTTCCTGTATGTATTAACCAATTATAATTTTATACATTACTGATTAATAAAACAAATGCTACAGGGACTATAAATCTGAAAAATAATCTGATTTCCGCAAAAAGAGATTCATATTTCCCACACAAAATTATAGTCCCACAAGAAAAGATATTTAATTAAAATTTCCAAGGTTCTAAAAGTGATTAAAAAAAAAAATCTACATAAAAAAAAAATCCATTGATCTTTTATCTTAATAATAACCCACCTGTACCAAATGGCCATCAGTCTGTTGCCATCTTGGGTGTAGAAGCTGCACCTCAGAGGTCAACGGCTTTACCAGTGAGTGGAGAGGAGGGATGGTGTAACCTCACTATACCTGGTGCAAAAGGAACTGGCAAGCTATTGCACTATTTTATCTTGGCTGTGACCATTAACCACAATTATGGGGAGTGGCGACTACAGCAATGCAAAATGCACTAACTGAATAAATGATGATGAATAACAAAGCTTTTGCTGATAAACTTTTGTTTTTATTATGAATGTGGTTGTAATTATTTTGATATTTTAAGATTGGATAAATTATATATATAACTGAACAGAGTTCCTCCCCTTGATTTTCTAACGTCCACTTTTTTGTTTACTTGCATTTTCAAAACCAGCGTTTCTCTAATTTAGAATTTATATTTCTTATTTCCAACCTTATTTTCAATCTTAAATGCTAATCTGGGTATAAATTCAAATTCAAAATTAAACTACAATTCATTGAAATATTTTAACTCCAATAATATTCCACCCCAACAATAATATATCATGTGTGAACAAGAATTATTTTTAAAAAACAAAAACTGGTGTCAACCTAAAATATAAATAAAATATATTTCCAGCACTTGAAAATTGCTTCAGCATGAAACTCAGAGTTGTACAATTAATGTAAGATAATATGTATATTTCTTAATATATATATATTTGTATAATTAAGATATCAAAGAGTGCATTTTATTATCATGAATCCTCTTTTTTAGTGAATTTTTGTAACTATGTATGTGTAAATAACTAAGTAACTATATACATGCTCTTGGTTAATTTGTGTATATGTGTGTGTTCATATGATGATGTAAGTGTGTATTTATGTGGTGTGTATATGAATATGTGTATGTTTCAATGGTGGTGATGATGGTTTTGTTAGTGGTGGTGATGTGTGTGTGCTCTCATGTATCTAAAAATGTGCCATTTTCAGTAATGTTCAAAATGATAACTAAGTCCTTGAGTTATGTCACATTTCAAAAGCAAAAACCTCAAAATGAACATATAACAGAGATAATGAAATCGGGATTGTTTTGAATTGCTTAACCAATTAATCATTGTCGTCACTTACTGATGAAAATTATTAAGGTAGCAAACAATAACATAGATTAGCAGGTGAGGATTACCTATAATTATAAGATAGATAGATTATGAACAGGCTGAGATAGATAGATAGATAGATAGATAGATTATGAACAGGCTGAGATATATAGATAGATAGATAGATAGATAGATTATGAACAGGCTGAGATAGATAGATAGATAGATAGATAGATAGATTATGAACAGGCTGAGATAGATAGATAGATAGATAGATAGATAGATTATGAACAGGCTGAGATAGATAGATAGATAGATAGATAGATAGATAGATAGATAGATAGATTATGAACAGGCTGAGATAGATAGATAGATAGATAGATAGATAGATAGATAGATTATGAACAGGCTGAGATAGATAGATAGATAGATAATGAACAGGCTGAGATAGATAGATAGATAGATAGATAGATAGATAGATAGATAGATAGATAGATAGATTATGAACAGGCTGAGATAGATAGATAGATAGATAGATAGATAGATAGATAGATAGATAGATAGATAGATTATGAACAGGCTGAGATAGATAGATAGATAGATAGATAGATAGATAGATAGATAGATAGATAGATAGATAGATTATGAACAGGCTGAGATAGATAGATAGATAGATAGATAGATAGATAGATAGATAGATGAACAGGCTGAGATAGATAGATAGATAGATAATGAAGAGATAGATAGATAGATAGATAGATAATGAACAGGCTGAGATAGATAGATAGATAGATAATGAACAGGCTGAGATAGATAGATAGATAGATAATGAACAGGCTGAGATAGATAGATAGATAGATAATGAACAGGCTGAGATATAGATTGAGATAGATAGAGATAGATAGATAGATAGGAATAGATTATGAACAGGATGAGATAGATAGATAGATAGATAGATAGATAGATAGATGAACAGGCTGAGATAGATAGATAGATAGATAGATAGATAGATTATGAACAGGCTGAGATAGATAGATAGATAGATAGATAGATAGATAGATAGATAGATAGATAGATAGATTATGAACAGGCTGAGATAGATAGATAGATAGATAGATAGATAGATAGATAGATTATGAACAGGCTGAGATAGATAGATAGATAGATAGATAGATAGATAGATGAATGGATTATGAACAGGCTGAGATAGATAGATAGATAGATAGATAGATAGATAGATAGATAGATAGATTATGAACAGGCTGAGATAGATAGATAGATAGGATAGATAGATAGATAGATAGATAGATAGATTATGAACAGGCTGAGATAGATAGATAGATAGATAGATAGATAGATAGATAGATTATGAACAGGCTGAGATAGATAGATAGATAGATAGATAGATAGATAGATAGATAGATAGATAGATTATGAACAGGCTGAGATAGATAGATAGATAGATAGATAGATAGATAGATAGATAGATAGATTATGAACAGGCTGAGATAGATAGATAGATAGATAGATAGATAGATAGATAGATAGATAGATAGATTATGAATAGGCAGAGATAGATAGATAGATAGATAGATAGATAGATAGATAGATTATGAATAGGCAGAGATAGATAAATAGATAGATAGATTATAAATAGGCAGAGATAGATAGATAGATAGATAGATGAGATAGATAGATAGAATTATGAACAGGCTGAGATAGATAGATAGATAGATAGATATGAACAGGCTGAGATAGATAGATAGATAGATAGATAGATAGATAGATAGATTATGAACAGGCTGAGATAGATAGATAGATAGATAGATAGATAGATAGATAGATAGATTATGAAAAGGAACAGATAGATTTATTGATTGATTATGAAAAGGAGTAGAGATAGATAGATAGATAGATAGATAGATAGATAGATAGATAGATAGATTATGAAAAGGAACAGATAGATTTATTGATTGATTATGAAAAGGAGTAGAGATAGATAGATAGATAGATAGATAGATAGATAGATAGATTATGAACAGGCTGAGATAGATAGATAGATAGATAGATTATGAACAGGCTGAGATAGATAGATAGATAGATAGATAGATAGATAGATAGATTATGAACAGGCTGAGATAGATAGATAGATAGATAGATTATGAACAGGCTGAGATAGATAGATAGATAGATAGATTATGAACAGGCTGAGATAGATAGATAGATAGATAGATTATGAACAGGCTGAGATAGATAGATAGATAGATAGATTATGAAACAGGCTGAGATAGATAGATAGATAGATAGATTATGAACAGGCTGAGATAGATAGATAGATAGATAGATAGATAGATAGATAGATAGATAGATTATGAACAGGCTGAGATAGATAGATAGATAGATAGATAGATAGATAGATAGATAGATAGATTATGAACAGGCTGAGATAGATAGATAGATAGATAGAAAGAGAGAGATGCATTTTTACTTTTCATAATGTAATAAATAAAATAAGCTGAAAATGTTGCTTATTTTCTTTCATCTCCAATGTTAGAATCAATGAAAAAGTCTGTCAATTTTGACAAAATTATTTTAAAAAGGCATGGTGGAGTAATGGATAGCGGCTTGGATTAAGGGATCAGAAAGCCGAGTTCGAATTCCAGTCAAATCTATTGCATTCACTTATGTGCTAATACTCTTGGGAAAGGTATGAATCATTTTCTTCTCCAACCAGTTATGGGTAAATAGCAGGACAGATCAGGTTCTGTAGCCTTGGATGGCAACTGGTCTACCGCAGAAAAAAAATGGCAACCTATTGCGGGAAAAAATCTGCCTTGTCAGTCATGCATCAAAAGATACATGATCACTTAAGCATGTATCACGCATGGCACATAACTGATTGATGGCATGGAATGCTTAACAATCTTCTCACAGATGAATTTAATTTTATGAAATTTTAAGAAATTCTTTTTTGTGGCACTTCATATTCATATTAGTTATAAGAAGAAATCCTCAGAAAATTTAAATCATCAAATTCAGACAGGACTTCCAGTTACAGAAAATCTGCTCTGAATCGTAAAATAAAAAAATGCAATAAAATTAAGATATTATTTAGTTGATGACACAACTAAATACACTACTTGTCTTTGTTGTTGTCACCACTTGCTAAATTAGCAGTAGAGGATTACCAAAGAGTATATGTTATACTGAAGGGAAAGAGGAGAAAAGACATGGATTAACAAATATCTAGTTCATGCCTAGTGAATAAAAAAACATTTTGACTACACCGGCAAGAAATAGTGGTTCAGCACTATCAATTACACCTACTCTATCCTTAAGCTATTTTTCTGCCTACGACAATAATAACAAGACGAGGGTTGTTTTAAACATAAACGAAGTTGGTGACATAAGCAGAGGGATGGAGTACACTATTTGTTCTGACTGGAACAGTAGTCACTTCCTAAGGAAAACGATTAAGTTTGCATATACAAAAGAAAGAAACCTAAAGAATGAAATTAGAATACCAGAGTGATATAAGGGTGTAGCTTTGTATTTCCTAAAACAAGAGAGAAAATCACAAAGAGCACAGTTAGCAAACTCTTGTTGTTTACTATGCAAATATTTTTTAATCATTTTGCCCTTAAGCAAGGTGATAAAAGCCACTAGGATACAAGGGATTACTGAGAGTGAAAGAAACAGACAGTACAATAAAAGGGCAGGATTCGAGAAGACAGATGATGACAATTGACATTGCATTTAAATTTTTGAAGATTGTAGTTGACAGAAAAGCAGGAAGTCAGAAAAGAGTTTTGCAAGTGAGAAGTGTGAGAGAAGAAGGTATTAGCATAGAACTTACAATTACAGCTAGCAATTTCAACAGTGAAATTATGAGACCTAACTAGCAATCTAGCACTGCACTTAAATTTGTGAAGATGAGGTACCAACAAGGAAAGCTCATCAGAACAGTTACTGTGAAAATATTTATAGAAAAAGGAAAAGGAAAGTCATGTAATGGGGTTGGGAAAGTGACTATATATATATATATATATATATATATATATATATATATATATACACACACACACACACACACACATATATATATGAATAAATAAAGAAGGAAAACTTATCTTAGCCAATGCATTTCATCCTCTGATTAGGCTTTATCAAGAATGTAAGAATTTTATTTTGCAACAAATATTTATAAACAAAATAATTTAAACAAAATTAAAAATGTTAGTTTTTCAAAATTTTTAAATTTAAGAAACACTCATGAATATTCATCAGACTAACTTTAAAAATCTGGGCAAACTATGGAAGATGCTAAGTGACAAAATTTAATGTCTAATAAACAAAATAGAGTAAATGCTGTTGATTTTTTTAATAATGTAATTAATGTTTATATTATTTTAGTTTGGGATTAGCTTATGTATTATATATTTTAAATAAAAGAAGGTTATAAATTTAGTAAATTTCTTTTCATTTTTTTTTAACATTTTTATAGTCATGTATATTGACTTGGGAAAGAGGTACTTCTTTCAGGTATGGAATCATTTGGAAAAATCCAGGATACAGATTTATATTTTTATAAGATTCAATAGCAGCACTCTCAAGAATTTTCTAAGTTACTTTCTCTTTTAATAAGTATGAGATATTTAGATTGAAATTGTGATTGAACTTATTTCTGTATGACTAATGCATTTGATAAATTGTTATGTATAAGATCAGTTTTTTTGTTCATAGATATATTTTGTAAATTTCTGTAATTTTCGCCAATGTATTGTGGGGAGCAATTGTGATAGTTTATTTTATATATATCTGCTTCAGAAATATTATTGCTATAAATATTTTTGGTTCTGACTTTATCCATAATAGTTTTGAATGTGGCTGTAATTATTTTGATACTGTTACGGTTGAATAAATTGTTTTGGATAGTAGATGTTAAGGAGTTAGTGGATAGTATTAATAGTCTGATTATATCTAGTTTATTGTCATTGTAGTTGTTTTTATTAAAAGCTTTCCTTTTGTCTTTATTTGGCAAAATGAACAAACTAGACACATCCAAATTATAGCAGGTATATTATTGATCAATTTTAGATGAAATAAAAATCTTTTTTTTATTGAAAATTATTAATACAATATGATATCCCCACTGAGTGGATACCAACTTAAAATGAGACATAATTAACTTATAATTTACAGAATTAGATAAAATTTACACCATGTAAAATATATATCAAATTACTAATCTACAAAGTTTCAGCTTTTAGACATTTATAGTTAGCAAGTTATTAGAAAGGTTATACTCTTCAAGGCTTTTAGTATAAATAGGAGACATCATATCAAGTAGGGAGTCAAAGTAAAAAAAAAATCTTCCCTTGTCTAGTCTATTTCTGGTAGCTGAAACACTTTGTCTTCAAAAGAAGAAAATATTCTTTGTAAAACTACATCAGCAATTCACAGACACACACACACACACACACATATATATATATATATATATATATATATAGGAAAAGAAATAATGAATTTTTATTTCTTAATCTGATATATTTACTCTAAATGTTATTTTTAGTGAGTTTTTGTTATTTTTTTATATTTGAATAGAAGCTCCATTTATTTTAAATGGTATTTTATTTAATCTACCAGCCTGAATATTCCAGCAATCTTAATAATGACATTCCTCAGAGACAATTTGATTAAAGCACATCAGATCTAATGACTGTTTCTCCTGCAAAGGGGGATATAATTTCAAATACTGCCATATGTTTTCATTTTTCTTTAATAAGATTTTGTGAATATTCAGTTCAATAGTTGAAATAAAATACTGTTTAAAATAAACAGAGCATCTCCTCAAATATGGGTATCCACTAAAAATAATGTTTAAATGATATATATCAAAATAAAAAGGAAGAACAGTCAGATTTATAATCTAGAGTTCTTTAGCATTTATTTTTAAAAAACCGAGCATATTGAAAGTCGGTTAAGATTAGGTGGGGGTTTGTGATTTCTGTCTGTTGATACTGACTTTCTTTTATGTGGATATGTCATCACAGTCTGGGTTTTTTAATTTTATTTTGGGTTACACTACAATGCATTTGGTGTATTTTTTATTTATTTTCTTTTTTTTCAAACTACATTGAGATTTTCATAAAGGGTTATTCAAATCTTTCAATTTACCACAAAAAAATATACTTGTATCTTCATTCATCAAAAAACTAACGACCACTTAATAAAAAATTCTAAATTCTCATTACCCCACGAACTTAAAATATATAATACTATTTGACTTATCTTTTCAAAGGTTATTCTCAGCATCACTTGAAAATGGAACTGAACTTCAAATTTTAAGTTTAATTTAAGATTTAAGTTTTGGTTTTGAAACAAAGTAATTTCTGCATTGCAATGGATACATATTTTTTAATCATGTGGTTTACATATAAAAACATAGGATAAATATTCATTAAACCAATGCCCAAACACTTACCCCTATCATGTACTCTCCACAAGATATTAAACAAAAAAATCAGTAAAAATCATCTACAGTTGCACCAAGAACAAATGATAAAAAAGCACAGCAGGAAAATAACCAACAAAACACCTACACAAATGAAACCCACCTGTAACTGCAGAGAGAAGCACAAATGTTCCTTAAATGGCAATTGCCTACAAAACAATAAAATATACCAAGCTACTGTTTAAATCTGCAGATAACAAAGAAAAATATACATAGGAGTAACTGAAGGATCCTGGGAATGGAGAAACTATGCACCCAAAAAATCCTTTATGCCTAGTAAATACACAAACAACACAACCCTTTCTAAATATATATGAAAAATTAAAAATAAAAACAAAAAATGCCATGGAAAAAAAATAAAAAAAACAAAAAAACAAACAGTGTCAGCTTACAACAATAAATCCAAAAACTGTAAACTCTCTCTGGAGGAGAAAATAACTAAATCACCTTCCCAGGCCAATACAAATTACTAAATAAATGATCAGAACTTATGGTAAAATACAGATACAAAAACCAATTTTTACTATGTTACTTCAAAATCAAAAACTAAAATGAAAACCTTGTAAAATAACACCAAGAAAAATGCAAATATATGTACTATATACAATACAGATGATGTAACATACTTTAGAAAAGCCAATACTTTAGACTAAGAAAATAATAAAATAACAAAAATCAAAATAAATAAATAAACAAATAAAGGAAATAATAAACACATTAACAAAGTATGAATGCACACATAAATACAAGTAAATGCAATAATAATAATAATTAACAACAAATAATTAAGTAATCAATAATAAATAATGAGTAAAAAAAGTTAAGAACATTATACAATAGCTACCAATAACCACATTTGCATCTACAATTATTTCTACTCAATAGTTTCTATAATAATTTGAAATATAATCATTACTAGCAATCCAAAAACTGTTAGGATAATACAATAGTCCTTGCTACCCATA